GATGTTGAAGCCGGTGCTTTTATCCTTCCAAGAGTAGTCCAGGAACAAATAATCGAGGGATGAGGGGCTCAGCTCGAACGGCAGCTAAACCGAGATTTTACCCTTTAGCGGAGCGCGATGTGAGCGGCGGAAACGAAGGGTTAGTGCCAGAATCGTATGAAAAGATAAAAACATTGAACTGTACGTCGGCTGTTCCTCAGAGCTCATTCTGTGGGCCAAATCGCATTTAACGGCCACTACGACCATAGTGGAAGTAGAGCGCAGAGCACAGTCTGAAAAGGGACCAGTCAGCGGTAAAAACTCTATTAATTAACTCTCAATGTCCTTATTTGTTCCAGTCCACGGCTGGAACAGACGATCTGACTATTTCTTCTCGGGATGTCTTCATAAAGCGCTCTTTCCATATCTCACCGATCCGCTTCACGATCTGATCCGTATCTTATGTTAGTTTTTACGTGCCTGATGAGAATGTTAGGTAGATTTGTTTCCCAAACGGTCAATATTTCAACTGAATCATCGCCCTTGGGGCCCAGGGTTCCACTCTCTGCGCGGAAAAAACCCGCTACCACGATTCATTGTTAGTAAGAAGCAAGATCTGATCCGTATTTTGACCGATTTTTCCTCGAAGAAAAATAACACGACAATCTGCAGATGGTTATCTGAAGCACTTTATATTCAGCTCAACGTCAGAGTACAATCTCCTGCCAGCTGTGAGCACTCGTCGTAAAACTGGAACATTCGTTTCACAAAGCAGCCCATAAGAAAAATTCCTGCCAACTGGGCCATCGTCTTCGAATCAAGAGGTTTGAATGCGTGATGATAGTGCTTGCAACGCTTTTAAGCGCGGTAAGGTTTCATTGAGATCTCTGCACACATTTCAATTAATTTTTCCTCACCAGTCAATGTAGAGCCGATGTTTGGCTAGGGAGGGGGCATGAGCACTTTTCACTGCTTTCTTCGACGTTGAGCGAGCTAAGCAGTTGGGGTTCTCTGTGAAATCTTGTGAAGCACGAAGTAATACTAGCTCAGAGCTTTGCTTGAGACCCATTGGCAATTTCTTTGTATAAAATAAATGAACACTATGGATTAGCGAAAGTGCAAAATTTCCCCCGCCAAATTGCGCCTCAATTTATTTAGCAATTGCAGTTCAGTTTCATTCCTTATTACGGCGTTTGAGGAGAGGGTTTGACTAATTAGCTCGCGGAGCGTGCAATGTTAATTGCGTATTTGAGAACAGTTGCCGGTTCCACTTAGGAGAGTCAGAGAGGGCATTGGAAGTGTCAGCGTCAAATTCCGTCGCTGTCGGGAACCATCTTGTGCAAGAAATTCATGTCCCCCCCCAAGTCTTTCCTCCTCTGGCACGACGCTCCTGCCAGGCCCTGCTATTGACCCCTGAATGTCGCTTGTCATTTTCCGAAGGCTCCAGCGAAAAATCATTCTTTTTCCCTCCCTTTTCTTATATATTTTCAGTATCCCTATTCTTCCCAGCTGAACAGTCGTGGGCGCGTCTAGTCGGCGGTAGTGGGGGTGCAGGGGGTGCGAGGGTTCTGGCGAAGACTATAGCAGCACGGCGGAAGGTTCAACACCGCAAGAATATCGTACCTCCCCCGTTCCTAAGGACTTGAAGCCCCCCCCCCCTTGTGCCTGCCTGTCGCTCTCTCACATCACATGCTATGGTGCAGTCTCTGACCTAAACTAAATCGCCATCTAATGTCTGCGCAAGTAAATCGCCACTTCCCTTCTCTCTTCCTTTCAATGTCATGGGATCAAATGTAAATAATTCCATTTTTGTTTTCAACCTACAACTCATTCGGTTCTTATACCATTTACTTCCAATTTGCAGTATTTTTTGAGTTTTTTGTTCGTCAAAATACAGCAGGATTCGCCAAAATGGTTAGTTTAGGTGCAAATACTCATGCTCCTGATTGGAAGCATAGACAGCCAGCCGACTCGTCGAGGTGGGCGACATTATTGAGTTATGACAAAAGTAATTAAATGCCAGAAGGGTCACCCAGCCAAGGGGTAGAAGAAGGCGAGACGAAAACGGCTACTGCCATGAAGAATTGTAGTGACCTGTACAGTAACTTGCGCGGGCTAGGCAACACTGTTCTTGTAATTAAATTTACAACACCGGAAAAATGGATTTATCAGTTGGACAGAACCTTTTCGTCACTTGATCCCCAAGCATGGCACATTCGCCACTATACTTGCCGTTCCTTGCCACTGTACTCTCTAGGCCCTACAGTCTAGCGATGGGATCGGCGCAGCGCCTATCCGCTTTTTCCCTCTCGCCAAGCGCCAACGCTGCTTCATATCGTTCGTACCGGTCGTTTTCCACCACTTTCACTTAACAGTTGGTGGAGTATAGTTTAGCGCCGCGACAAATTCAGTCCCCTGACACGCCCAAGCATCCGCAGCGAACAAGACTGTATGGAGGTACGTACCTAGGTAGCGCATCCTAAAATTGAAGCCGTACCTTGTGTTATAGTCAACAACAGAAAGCAGTCTCATGGCCTGCAGCTTACTAAACACATCCAGGGTACTTGAAGGTTAACCAAATGCAGTGTAACAGATTGTTACGTCATTTTTCAGGAATTTCTCCCGAACAGACCGTCGATCGACCGTCTCGTCATCAACGAACTCCTCATCAGTCGGGCAACGACGATGGCCTCATACTCTTATCATTACTATACGGTATCGTGCCGTGACTACAACGGCCCAATAAATGCTATTTATACCGCAATTTCTCATGTTTTCCTCTTGTTCTGTGTGCTGTGATTTTATGTGTACATTCTATGCCTGTAATTAGTAGTACATATGTATAAATAAGTAACCCGGGTTGGTTCAATATGATAACTGTTGGTCGCGGTAATCTGCCTTCTGAACGTTATTACGAGAATTCTAAATCATGGAAAAAAGCCTCGACCAGGGGCGGAACTCGTACCTGCACCTCTCCCTTTCCCAGCGATTGCCCTATCCATTAAACCACCGCGGCCGCTCTTACCCTCACAGCGTAATAAGTATACTACTAATGCAAGTAACTAATAACGAATGATGTATTATAAACAAGGCACTATTGCCCTTTACTGCCCCAATCATCTGGCCAGTTTTTGACCGGCTTTTTTCTCCTTGAACGGAATTAGCTAAAAATTGGTCCTAGGGTAGTTAGACCTACTCAACACGAAGTCACAGGCGCCTGCGCCGAAATAATCCGAATCATCGGCGCCAATAACAACAATAGTGCCAGTAACAACAAATAATAATAATAATAATAATAATAATAATAATAATAATAATAATAATAATAATAATAATAATAATAATAATAATAATAATAATAATAATAACTTAATAACTAGATGAATGTATGAACCAAACTGTACTTGAAAAAAGCTTCCGCTTTCAGCAGCAGGGTTATATAAGTGGAATGGGTGGATGCGCCTACGGTGCCAATAGCGAACACTACGAATTCAGAGCTGCTTGAAAAACATGCACAAAATCCAGAACGCCTGGCTGTCAGTTATCAACCAGCTCTCTTAAATTGTGCCCGCCTATGTATTTCGATTCGCGGTGCCAGTCATGCTAGCAGATTATACACTTTTCGGCGGGACATTTATAACTTTTGAAGTTCGGAATTGATAGTGAAAGGTAAGGATGAAGTCTTCGCCGTTGATCAATCCCTTTGTGAGATGCGGCACGCATTCTACTTCCATTCAGAATCGTAGTGGCTTATTGAATGCGATGTGGCCTATACAATGACTTGCGGGGGCCAGCCGATGTACAAGTCAGTGTCTTTTCCTCCCAGACGAATCTGGTACCAATTTACTGTTTCCGGGGGGTAGTAAGCTAGACTGGTCTGGACGGGAGTCAACCCGGAACTTGGACCCAACCGCGCGAGCGGTAAGCGCGCCACTTGCCACTAGATCACCTCCGCATCAAAGTTAGGAATTAAGTACAAATAAGTAAATGAAGAGACGATGAGAGACGATTAGTGAAATATTTATTCATTCAATTGCATAACTAATTCCTTCAGTGATGGCAGTATGTAATTTGGCCTTCAATATGTGCCTCGTCGGATACGATGGCAAATCAAGGCGATTGAAACACGTATGTGCCCTGAAACAGAAGAGATGGAAAATCAGTAAATCAGCACTTAATTGGGAAGTTCTTGCTGAATTCGGAAGATTACCAAGAGGGCAGCATCGTATGCAATAGGCATCTTACCTTGGTAAGGCTGATTCTTCACCCCATTTTTCTATAGTGAATCGTTTTGGTCCGTTACTTCCACGTAACATCGCGAATCCTTCGAATGGAATACTTGACGTGCCGGTAACGAACTGAATATTACTATTAGTGAAAAGAACAAAAATTGAGTTGTAGTCCTCTTTTTGCCTTTAACTATTCCGCTCTCTAGCTGATCCCGCGAAACTGCTTTTCTCGATAATCAGGTGGGCGGAGACCCATAACCACTGCACTTCATTCATTACTGCATCCCTCTGTCTAGCACACTAATGAGGAATGCTGCGGTAATTAATTAGGCGCAGTGGTTACGAGCCTCCGTACAATTCTCCACCCATCTGATTACTGCTCAATATACCTTTAAATACCTCCGTGTTTTATCGGAGAGCGCTCACTATCTATGAGCCTCGCCAAGTCGCCCATCAATCGGACGAGTTGTTTCAACCTCACCTGCACAGCTTCAAGCCGATCGGCAATTGGTCCATTGGAAGGCAACACGATCCAAACCATTCGAATGACGCACCGTGCTGATCAAAATAGGCCACCCTATAAACATTTTATGGTAATTATAAAAAATATGAGCTTGCAGGAGAAGCCTGGAGATGCGAGCAGAATGGGACGAGAAAGGTGGTCACAGAGCAAGAACTTTTAGAAGCGCGAGATCGTATTTCGCCAAAGTTTCCCCCAACAGCAGGACGTGTCCTGCTCAAAAATGGTGTCCGCGGAGCTGGTGCGCGATTTATTTTCCGTTTTTCTTCGATTTCGTTTTAATGGTAATCAGCAAAGCTCGTGCAGGCCATCTTGTAAAGACCTGTGAACTCCTGTCACTCAACTTGCTCACTTTACCACTTTGCAGCTGACAAGAGTTCACAGGTTTCACCAAAGAAAGACCTGTTCGTAAACAAGATCTAGCAGAGGAAACTAGCGAAGGTACAGAGTGCCCCTCCAAGCCGAGCAGCGTCTGAAAACCCGTAATTAACTTATAGGGCTTTTTTTAGATTAGAGGCGCGTCGGATAAGCGGAGGTCCTAACAAATGCGAATTCCTTTTATTCGGCTACTCTTGAACCTGCAGGAGAGAAGATCCAACCATTGAATATGGCACAATTGTTAGAAGTCTCCGCCCATCCGAATGCCGCGGAATATAGGAGTTCGCTCGCCGCAGAGTCTTATTTCAGAGCTAAATAAACATAAACATCTGGCCCTCACCCTATACTCCGTATTCTTCCTCCAGTCTTCCAGATCGATTTCCCTTGAACCTGATAGGACCAACTCAACCTGATCGACGGTGAATACTCGCAGAAAATCTCGATCAATAATCTGAAATTCAGCGAATGCCGGTTAATTTTGCCAGATATTTCCACATAAGGTTTTCCGGCCTGCTGATCGTTTAGTCTAGGAAAGCGAAGAGGTCCGAAGTATAAAATGATCAGATGAAATGAAAATATTGGTGCTATCAAGTGCAACTAACCTGATGCAGCCCTCTCAGAAGAGCCCGTGACTGACGCTGAATGCCACGTTCAACCCTCCATTTCACCATCAACGAGATGAACTCCTCCTTGTTGTGATCGGACACATCAAGATCGGCACCGTTCGGCAGAAGTTCCTTCTCAATTACCTGAAACTCTGACATCGACTAAAGGAATATAAGAACCACCGCTAAATTGTTTGTTCGCAATGGTCTAAAAATAGGGCTTGGGACATGCGGGGGAGAGAATCTTCCCCCGATTTAGGAAAACGCACCAGGTATTCATTCCAAGTTACGGGCAGTCCTTGAAGAAGAGACTTCTTAGTAGGCTGCGTGGACTACATATGTGCCCCTAGATTCAGCGATTTTTTTTCAGCATTACGTTCAGTTAACAATCCGATCGAATACCGAGAACTGTTCAGTCCTTTTCTATGGTGGGCGTGTCACGGGCCGGGTTTGGCGCGAAGCCAGCCTGTTTTGAACCGATTGTAGGCCGCTTGGCCATTTTCCATAATTGGTGGAGAACGGGCTGGCGCTGCGCCAAACCCGACTCCTGGCGACTAGTATTCCTTGCTGTTAGGAACGAGAAACCCCCAACTGAGCCTCCAAGAAATATTATCGTCTCCGTGACATCATTTTTCTTCTAAGAAACTGAAGGAAGAACTGGTTTGGATAGGGCATGCACGGAAAAGCCTGTAAGATTTCTCTGGATGAGTACAGCAGAGCTTCACCCCTGCCAAATAAACTGATCCCTGCATCACGCTCAAAGAATTGTCTAGGAATGCTTTCAACGCCACTGAAGTGCTTTACCGAACCCCGGGGCGACCAATAGAGTGACCCATTAAAACGTTGGGCGTACCTGGCCGTTCTCTTCCTCGGTGACGACGAAAGTCATTCCAAGAGATTTATCAATAGGATTTTCGCGTATCCACATCATACTGCGAAAGAATTCCTGGTCGACGTCCTGCAGATCGAGTACGGTAACTGGCCTGGAATGCAAAGATTTCATTCTATAAATCAAGTTTTTAAAAGCAGTAAGCAGAAAAGAAAAAAAGAAGAAAACCTAGATAGAGGGTAGACAGGTGAAGTAAAAGGATAAAACTCACTGCTCAAGAAGCATCTTATAGAACGTTCTTGTGAAGAATGTATCAATAAGACATCGATGAAGCAGAGCCAAACCGAGAACTCTCCCGGCTAGCTCCATCCTGAAACAAGAACTTTTTCAAAAAACCACTGGTAAGACCTTACTATTCTTAACAGAACGTCAGTTCTCCGCAAATAGGGTCTCGGGCTGATATTCAGGTTTTCAAGAATGTTCATTTCCTCACTCAATTATGAGAGCGGGTTTTGTCTTGTCTGAGGCTTAAGTCTCCTAACATCGAGATGGTCCCTAACTTCAGCGTTCGTTCCAAATTCAGCGCGATATTTCGCCGTTGAGCCAGATTTTCAACGTAAAATCTGGCTCAACAGCGAAAGCGAACGTCACTTTCTTCTGGTATAAGAGCTGGGATGGGATCTCTAGGTTGCCACAGATAATGCGTGCTGGAGCAGGGCCAAGAGTAGTAACACAGGGCACGGTGTTGTTGAGACCCCAGACGGAAGACAACGTCATGCCTTGTCGGTCCTAACTGGCCTTGAATCGTCCAGGAGGGTTACGTTTGGCACTACTTCGGCCTTGGATCGTCTAGAGGGCCGTACTTGCTTGCCAAAAAGACTTTTAATCAAGCCCGAACTCCTTCGTTCCAAATTTCTTGAGGAAAGCCGGTTGGACAGAAGTATACTTGTTGTCACAGAAGTCAGCTGAGGCGTGTCAGCACGGCCTGGATTTTGGCGCGGCGACATCAGGTTCCCATCGATCGTTGCGGCTTCTAGCGTTTTGTGCAGACTGGAAAGGTGCTGGAGTTGCGCCAGAGCCCATATCGCGCTGAAATACCCCGACTGATTTTAGTGATAGTTAGTTTGGGAAAGCTGGGTGGATTTGCGTTCGCGCTGAAGAGGTCGCCGAACTGTGCAATTGGGGTGGACGAAAAAATGTTTGCAGTAATCTACTCCAGCCCTCCGCAGGATTTTCTGCTCAGATATGCCCCCTCTTAACCTACCAACTATCGTCCTATGCTTTCCCATCTCTTCTACTTTTCTACCACTTTTTTTCCAGTTTTTCAGAAAATTCTGTAGTTTGTCGTCGAAACACAGCCGTCGAGGCAGGGGGAGGTGTTGAGCCATAACATGAAAACAGGACATGGGAAAAACCGGAGAAAAGAGTCAACAACTAGCATTTCTCTGAGAGGCAAAGACACCAGAAGTTGCACGTTCTCTGTCTCAAGATAAAATGTAAGCGCTTCCAAGCCCCCCCCCCCACCTCCCCCCGCCTGCTGAGCTTGCATGTACGGACATGTGGCTTTGGCTTAAAAAATCAGCGGTTGAGGGGGCGAGAAGCATAAGTCGTTTATTCTTCATTTATCTTGCTAAGACGTCGCATTCAAAAGAAACTGCAATCATCAAACTAAGCTCACTCATCACTATCTCCACCTCCTGGACAACCCTCCGATGTCCTTCCCACACAGCTTATTCTTTCCTTGACGTTTCAGCGGTGTTTAACTATTGCGCTTGAAGGCAAATGTGGGTAAGCATCAAACCGATTATCCTGGCACTCCATAGAGGCGCAACGTTATGGTTCGCGGGATAGAATGCAGCGTATAGGCTAGACTCTATCTAATGGCTCAGAGCTAATGGAGGGAAGAAGAATGTGCCTACGCGAAACTTCTCAAGCACTACCCACTTTATAGCGAAAGCTCAGCTTCATTCACCCCTTTACTGTTCCTTTCCTGCAGGTCTCGGAGAGAACTCTGAAGTGGACGGTGGGGGGGATGGAACTGAGTGAGGAGGTGGTCAGAACTACCGTCAGATACATCGACATAGCTATGTGTCCCCAGTATTTCATACCTTCCGCTTCGATAACAGACCCCCTCGAAAACACGGCCAAATACAAGCTTTCCTTTCGTTCAGCAGCTTCAAGCAGTATAATCGGCTCCTGACGCCAAAGACCTCACATTGCAGTGTTCGTGCTGTACTAAGATTCGAATGCGGGCTGATCTGTACGGTGTACTGGTCGGGTGCTGAATATTCGAATAGGCCGTAATACGGATGAAACAGCTCCCGTGAAAGCAGATAGAACAGTTCGCGTGACGGGCCACCATAATCCAAGCTGAAAGAGGAAACACTTGAATCCGGATGGGAACTGGAAAAAATTCCCAAAAAAATTGTACACGTCAGACGACAGAGTCCCATGCACGATTTAATTGATTTCTGATCACGAAAGGAGCAGAAATTTCTAGAAAGTTAAAATAGAAAAGTGACGGATTGCATGAAGTATCGAATCTTAATTGGGACGCTGCCCTTTAACATCCAACACTATGGGACCACTGCTAATGACAATTGAAGTCATTAGCACCGTAAGTCGCCGGATTGGTATTTTATCACACTGAGAAACTGTAAAGAGGCTAGCATCTAATTGCAAGTTTAGAGTTAGCAGATGTTCCCCTCTTCGTGATATCCGACGCTACCGTAACTCATCTGAATGCGTCACGAGAAATCCCAGTCTCACTCACCCCTCTTCGTCGTCGAACGCTATCGAAAGCCTCGCTCGTCGAAGCGTGACCGGATCCGCCGCTAGGATTTGGTCGAACGCGAAGCGTGACCGGATCCGCCGCTAGGATTTGGTCGAACGCATCCTGGAGGAGATTTGAACGGCTGAATCGAAATCTGAAAGGATGAAAAGTTGGAATGTTTCCCCTCGAAGAGTAGACAAATCTCAATCCTCTTAGTTGCTACTGATTTTTACTACTATTATTAATTTTTCACTGCTTTGGTGATTTTTTTCATGAAAGATGCGTTCCGCTGAAATTGGAGAGGTGGAGATCACTGATGCGTCCCTCCTTCAAGCACGGTAAGAAGGAAGGGCGCACCAGTGAGGGAGGCACTATGATTATGAGATTTCACTCATTTCTACTGTAAAGTTTGCTTTCAAATAGATATAAAAGAGAACGCAGTAGATTACAGTACTTTGAAGGCATTTTTGTTTCCAAAGCTACGGTATAACAAATCACTTCATAGAGTTGAAGGTGTTTCAAAAGCCTCTACGATCCTGACAGAACGAAGAGCGAGCGCTGGCTGCTCTAAAAAAATACAGCAGACGCTGATCGCATGGACGCAGTAAGGCTCACCATTTCGCCATCCTCATTAGCGAGGTTCCACCCCCTTACCGTAGTGAAATATAAGGGCGCACAAATGAAGGCGATGGGACAACAGGCCTCGCTCCGCCCACGCGATCTACGTGGACTATGCATTTAGTTATCGCAACTACTCATTGAATCTATTCTAGAATCGTACAGTATTCTTTGCCTAGGTATTGATAATAAATGCTGTTTCTTCGGCACCACACAGCAATCAGCTCGGATCGTTCTCCAATACCGTTTGAGCCATCGCATGCACGCGTCGCCGTGGCGCTATCGCGCGCTCTTCGAACATCAGCGGAGTGCCTAATGCTTGCTGTTTCCCATGCGGTCTGCTATCCTAGCAGGATCCTAGCAAGATGGAAAGGCGTGAGGGTAGAGTGAGATTCGAGAAATCCAGTCCTGAGTCACGTCCATGCCCTTTTGCGCTTTTCATTTCTCCCTAATCTACTTACTTTTGTAGGTATTTCGCAATGCGCTTTATTCCTTTTCGGTTTTCAGCTTCCTCAGTGGTGCACTGATTAGGCTTAGCGTGGAAGAAGCTGCGTATAGTGGTCACGTGAAGAAGCTATATAGTGTAGGTCGCGTAATACTAAGGAGATCCATGCTGCGGCTCAAACTATGCTTACCTTAAGTTTCGCATCACGTCAAAAAGTTGTAATCTAGGGGCATTAAAGGCAGTTGGCACGATGGTTTCCTACTTAGCCTAAAATGCTAGTAGGGCGCTGTATAGTGGGGAAATGGCGAAAGAACGGAGTGAAACGGTCAAAATCCGGCGAAGAAAAAGCCTCCGTTCTCAGTGACTTGTAAATCGATTTCGGACGAGTTTCCCGTACGCATCTTGCCAATCACTGCTAGCAAGGTAAGATACACCGTGCCGCTTCATACCAATCCCTTTGCTTTATAATTTGCTCAGCAAATGAATGAATACGAGCGTCAGAAACGGTCGTCCGTTTGTGGGCGGGCGGGCAAGGAAGGCGTTTGGGACGTAAAGTTGTTGCTCAATAGGGCGTTATAGAGGGTACCTCTCCTTGGAAAAGCTCCACGCACGCCGTGTCCGAGGCACTGGAATTCGTTGAGCCAAGGTAGTACAAATCCTAACACCTTGTATAGCGTTTACAGTTGCCAAGCTGCTTTATGACTCAATGTTGCGCTAGGTGAAGTCCCCTACTGGGACTAGGTCGATTCATACTAACCTTTCGCGTTTGTTTGCACTGCGTTGCTCTCGTCTGTGCTCTTCTTTCTGTTTCTTTGCCCTCCGGACGGAGCCTTATTTAGAGCTTTTTTCGACAGTTTCCTCTATTTTTTTCTTAACTCATAGTCGGTGACATCGCCAGACTCACTTCACTTTCTGAGGTCCTTTACCGTAACCGCTACGATGCAGTGAAGCGTAAAAGTGATTGAGCTTTTCCTCGAACTCACTCGACACTGCTGGATCATCAGAGTCGAGAATACTGCAAATATGCAACGCATAAAGGTGAAGTCCAGGCTATGGTACTACTACTCATTACTGGGGATTGTTAAGGTGGCTGAGACTTCGGGGAAATACACTTCTGAAACAACGCCAGATTGCCGAGACTGGCAGGGACAAGACGGGAGCTACAACTGTAGGTCAATGTCTACTAATGTGGCTGACCACGCCCATTTCACGTCCGAGGACAACACGGCTACGCACATCACTGCTACGGAACTTACCTGATAGCCGTTATCAAGTCGACGTCATTAGCTAGTCTGGCTAACGCAACAGCTCCAAGTCGCTCGATCAATCGCAGTTTTTTCCTGATCTTTGGCGCTAATTCGGGCAATCTCTCCTCGACGAGTAGCGCTATCTCTGCCGTACGGCTCGCCAAATCCAACAAGTTCCCGTTTTTGTCCAGCTAAAATCGTTTTATTTGTTACAGATGTGGAAGTTGAAATATATGCAACGTGAAAGATATTGTGATCAGTGGATCTGTAAGGGTATGCCATGCGCTCGGTTCATCCTTCAGAATCGTAGAGACGATGGGATGTGCTTGAGGGGCACTTTTGCGATAACCATCACCAGCACTTATATCTTTTGAATCACTAGTCCGTCCTCGATTGCTCGCGGACGGAAGGACCCATTCCGCCGTCAACAAGATGGGCGAGTATTCATTTACAAGCAGTGGTCATTCATCCTTTTGGGGTAGCCTCCTTTATATGTGATTGGCATAGGATGAGGGGCATCAACAGTAAGCCACGGTGTTTATATGTCTCCGCCGCATTGCTTGGCTCACTGTATAGCGCTGAATGTGTCTGCGAATTGCGTATCTAGTCGGATAACCGTTTCCGTTTTTGAGTGAAAAGCATATTATTTCTATGAATAATCCAAAAATTACACTAAAAAAATCACTGCTGTTTAATAATTGGGCTGAGAGACTCACGTTTTGCCGCCGTGCTGGTGGAGCGCTCCGGCCCTCTTTTTCGGTCGACAGTTGGAGCAGGAAGGCGAGGATCGATCAGTGTAGTTCGACGAGCAGCATGATCAATGAAAATTGTCTGCAACAAGGGTAACTGTACTTCCTGTAGGCAAAAAAGCAGTACTGCGGCGAGACCAACATACCGGATTTCTTCCACTGGCCTGCCAGTTCATCGGTAATGGCTGGGTATCATCGGCAAACAGATTGACAAACGCTACGAAATCCCTAGAGAAAAAGAACTGAAAGCATAATATATCATACTCGGAGAGACCAAGGAGTTGGAAGGGCGGATACTGCTACTACCGTACTTCTGGTGTCGACCAGTCTCTTTTGAGACCAGTCTCTTTTTTTCTGGTCTGGTGTCGACCAAGCGTTCGCACTACTCCCTCACCCCCTCGGGACGCGAAACTCTTCAGTCCTGAGTCGCCTTACTGTTATCCGACTCGTTTGATGGTGAGAGGTAAAAACATAAGCCTTGACTATGACACTCCTCCTTGGTTAAAGGCCAGATCGCATTTGAAATGCCACTGCGATGCCAAAGAGAAGTAGAATGCGTGGCGCGTCTCAAAGGAGATGGATCATCGTTCAGGCCTTGGCCTTACTGTCAAAATCTGCTTTAGTACCACCAGACTTTACGGGGGAGCAGCATTTAGGATCCATCGTTGCTAACAGGATTCGTCAATTGGCAATTTGAAAATTTTGCAAAACGCCTGAAAGAGGAGGAGGGCTAGTTGGAGAAGCATTTTTAATATACAGCACATTATATCCCTATTACTTCATTAAAACTTTCATTGTCCTCCCCCCTCCAGGGTTCTTTGGCCTCATTCACTCAAGGCTATCAGTTCTTATTCTGTACTTACCCACGAAACCTTTCACAGAAGATTTTCGTTTAGATTCAATGGCCGACTGAAAGTGCACTCTTGCTGATTGTTTACTTTTTATTCATCCTCTTCTCTTAGTTATTTGTTTGTTTTGCTAAAAGGGGACATCAATAAGCAATTTAATTTTGACTTTGAATTTTTCAGCGGTCAAATTGATTTTTTTCTCCAAACTGTGACTTTGGACGGCCCATATGCTTACATTCTCTACATGGAGCATAAATTGAAAGAAAAGTACTGCACGACCACATTCTGTACCGTTGCAGTACTGCACAACAGCTTCAGAGCATGGCCGAGTTGATATCGCGTTATTCGCTGAAACCCGTAGCAATACAAACTGCACGGATTGGATGAATATAACGCGAGAGGCGAATTGATCCCGTTTGATTCGCCACGCACCGACACGAGCAGGCCATTGCACTTGCGCCGTCTAAACCTACCACGAAACTCTATCTCATTCTCTTCGCAATTAACACGCTTTCGAATGTCGTGTTTCAATATCACATCTTGAGAACTCCTCGCTTAACACTTGCGTGGCTAGGGGGAATTTGCACACAATACGGACGCCATTTGACGCTAAATATACCAGCCCCCCCCCCCCGGCGAGGATTCCAGGGTAGCAATTCTCTTTCATTTGCCTGAACCCATGGCATTACAGCAACATTTGACACTTACACATGAAGCCCCTTTTCATGGCCACAATACCGTTTGTGAGGCGAATTTTCCACGAAATACGACCCTCCCCCTTAACCAGAATCGATTTCCTCGGTACAGCACCCTTTCACATCCCACCCTCTTTTTCACGAACTTTTCACCAATGTGTCGCTCTGGAAGGTAAAGGACCGGGGGAGCATCTGAAAGACTCCTTGTGCAAGAGCAACAGTAACGTCATCCAGACTGAAAGTACCTTATTTTGAAGCGGTCCGCCACGCAGGAGCTCCTCTCCTGTCCGTTCAGTTTCGAGCGCGAACCGGGGTAAACACGCGAAAGGAGAAAAATCAGTAATGAGGAAGAATTCTGTTGGTGAATACGGACTCCACTCCCATCCCAAGGCAAACTACACTCCCAGAGCTGTAGCAGCAGGGCACGCCATTGCGTTGTGATCATTTCCTGAAAAATACGACCCCCCCTAATTCCATCTTCAAGTACGACCCCCCTCCCCATGTTACCTCTTTCCCTAGATTTTTCCAACCTCCTACCACTTTGTCTATTTTTTCCCAAAAATTTCTGGTTTTTTTACAAAATTTTGCTGTCGAGCGGGGGGGTCGCAGTACCTACGTACGTCCAAGCACGTCCAGCACTCTGGCGCTGGTGTAGCATACTGACAATACGTACGAGGAAGGGACGATGATAGGAGCTACAATCACCGCCCACAAGGGCACCATGAATTTATAATTAAGCAAAAGGACTCACGACGTGACGATTAATAAACCGATGAAAGTACATTCCCGGACTTTTCTGATCGTAGGAGCACATTTGCTTGCAATTGGGAAGCCCTATCTAGAAGTTACACCTTCCAAACACCTGCGTGAAAGCCCGCGTGCCATGCATGGCGACATTGCAGAGGTGATGCCAATTGGCGCCCAATGGCCTATTTCCTGATACCCTTTGCGAAAACATGTCTCTTAGAAGCATACCAAAGTCATCAAGCCAACCGGAGGTTTCATGGCCTCGGAGGGGTTGATTTTTCGGTGTCGTGGGGGTGATTACAAAATGATCACAACGGGGAATTTTTTCGAATAGTAGGTCTAGGAAGGAAATTAAAACCTTGCTGGAAAGTAGAAATCTTCAAGCTTCCGGCACAGTTCTTTTTTTACGAAAGGTCGTGTATGAAGCTTGCCATGGACGTCCAAAAGCGTAGCGACTCGCGGTTCGCAAAAATGATCACAGACGGATCACAAAGATGATCACAACGGGGAAAATCTCTGGAATCGGAACGTTTTTGAAATCGCTCAATTCAGGTGACAAGAGCCAACCTAGCTCTACTCATTCCCACTTACCCCTCTCCGATAGCTTCACTTTCAACGAAGTTATGGGTGTTCAAATGAGGGGTACTTTTCACGTGTTTGGCTTGAAATTGGCTCCAAACCGTAAATAGCGCGCACCAATGAGCTTGTATAAGCGCGCTGACCGCGAACAGCCAAAATTCAAAAAGTAATCCATAGCTTCGCGTTCCCAGTGAACTTGCGTGCGCGAGTTTTTTTTCTTTCTATCTATTCTTTTTCTATTATACTTGCTGAGTTTTATTGTTTGTTTTTGTTGAGTTTGGTTTTGTTTTGTTGCGTTTGATTTTGTTGTGAGGAAATTGCTCAGGATTCAATTTCTACGCTTTCATAGGTAGCTTTTGCAATGGATTCTTTTCTAGATTTTGCGAATTAGTGGATTGGGATTTATCTAGACCAGATGAGGAGGGTTGGTGGGCGAAGTGTCTTGAGGTTTTTTGTGAGGAAGGTGGAAAAAGTTTCAGCAATATTTTTTTTAATTCTTGACTTAGGAATAGTTCGATAGTGCCTATTCTATTTATTGTCATCTACATCGTCCCTTTTGAGCTTCTTTTCACTTGTACCGTGTATCACCGCTCTCTCCACTTCAACATGGGCCATGCGTTTACGACCCCCCCTCCATCGCGGGCAAATACGACCCCCCTGTTGTGATGATCACAAAGATGGCGTGCCCTGCGCTGTTACTTCCAGAAAGAATTGATGTGGCCCTGCTTCCTAATCGCTCGAGCCATTTCAAGAATCTGGCTAGGATTGTGTGCGCTCAACTGCCTTTAGTGCCCTCCACTGAAATCAAAGGGTAAGTAAGCAGTGCAGACTCCATTTGCAGCTTAGTTGCAGTTCCACATTCAGGGCTCGCAAGCAGTAACAGGGGCTATGTTTATACCTTCAAAAAGAGGCATAAATCGAGCCTTTCGAGCCGGACATACCTAATCATGTGTATAACAACCTTACTTACTTGTTATCTGCATGACTTTTCGCGTCGTTTCACTCACATTTTTCGTATTCGATGCACAAATGTGTTTGACGATCGGTGAGGCGTTATAGGCGGCAAGGGCGGTCTGAAATGGAAGCGTCTCTTTTTGATTAACTGCTGAGCACCACTTGTTGCCCTTACCAAGCCACTGTGACGAAGAGAATATGAGAAAGAAAATACAAAGTAATTATGTATATATACATATGTACAGGGAGGGACAAAAAAAGTCATTTTTCTTCCTCGATTTCCAAGGCCTATAAGTTACACCTCATTGAGTTCTGATCGGACATTTCCACCACCGTATTCAACAGCATATTGTATACTATCATGGTACTAAGCCACAGCGTACTGGACGAGCGGCGCGTCGAAGAGATTCGCCGCGTCCGACGGTGCAGAATGCGTGGAGGTGTGTGTATGGCATGTGGTTCACACAGCACACTTCGTCATGCACCGGTCCGCAGCCATCCCCCACCACTCCCCGACGCCTCGCGCCCGCGCCGAGCAACCTCTTCCACTCTCTAGGGCACTGTAATATGCCCATCGTTTAGCCCTTGCAATCATTCCATAGGCTGTAGCTTTTCCAAAGAGCCGCTACGAACCAGAAGGGAAGAGAAGGCGTGACGCATCCCATAAAGGTAACCAGAAGCTCCAACTTTTTTTAATATACAAGTGGAATGAAATCTTAACAATACACTTTGATTTCAAAATGATCTAATTCTGACGCTTACCTCATTCTCATGTAATATGCTCACGAAATCTGAACGTTGCAGAAAATGAGCAGGGCCATATGAGGGTGTAGCCGGCGGGGTGATGCCAACTGTTCGTCGTGCCAACTCGCAATACCGTAATCAATTTTTGGACTTCTTCCTGCCTGTCCGTCTGCCCTATTCAACTACGTTTAGCACCGAACGATGGAAGGGGCCCTTTCTTCCTAACGCTTGGTGTGTACTAATACTAAGAGCTTCACTTAGTTTTTTTTCAACCTCTATATAGGCGCTCAAATTTATCTTTCTCTTACCTTTTCAGGTGTTCGACTTCCTTGCTTTCAAGTGACGGCCGTTGCCAAGTTGTCCTTTTAGTGGTGTGATCAATGTAGAACGTTCTACCCTTCCGATCAGTGCATGCTTCCCAACCTTAAATACAGTTAATGAGTAAAGCTGCTTAGGTCTTTAGAGCCTAGGCTCACTTACCAGCTGGTAAGGGGTGGGTATTCGTTGAGGTGAGCAGATGAACTTGATGACGAGCTGAAATTCGTCCTTTCAACTAATCCAAGAT